CGTAGGTCGCGGCCAGGTCCCAACCAAGAGGAGTCCCTCATGGACTTAGTTCAGTTTCTACTGTACTGAAAAACGAAATTTCAACTTCCCTCATGGACTTAGTTCAGTTTCTACTGTACTGAAAAACGAAATTTCAACTTCCCTCATGGACTTAGTTCAGTTTCTACTGTACTGAAAAACAAAATTTCAACTTCCGGCAGAACCTACAGACTACAACCGTTCAGAGATGAAAGACAAAGCACTGTAGAAAGACTCGGCATTTAGATCAAGATACTTCATTTCCCATCCATCAGGTGAGTAGGTGGATCACATGCATTCAATGACACTATCAAGACCACAGAGGAGTAGGAAAAAAAAAACAGAGTAACCCCAGCAGGACAAACCATACCATGCACACACACATGGGCATCCCGTAGGTGCACGGCACTTACCTGAGTGGCCTTGAGCTTCGAGATGAATAGAACTCCCCCCCCTTTCATGTGATCCTCCTGACCCCTCTAACGCTACCCCTACACTAGTGTCCCATCTCCTAGGAGGGTCTGACTCCAACACCCAAGTGCAACGCCGGATCCCCCGTCGATGCAGAAGAACAAAGTAGCAACTTGCAGTTCGTAGATGCTGAGTGGCCTCTGACCCTCAAGCTCGCCTACTTGAGGGCAGCCCTTAAGTTGCCAAGTGTCTCCCTTGAATCAGATTCCAGGTGCGAGTGCCTCTCACTGTCGCCTCTCTCAAATCGCCGCATGAAGTCTCCTCGAAATGTCTCGCCACCCTAATCTCACTCTCAAACAACCTGGTTAGGTTCAACGTCCACCCTCCGTGACCTAACCAGGTGGGGGCAGCTTCCCTCAGCCACGCTGCCCCTCTTCCCTTCACAAACCAACCCTAACCCTAAGTGGTGCCCTCAACCACTTAGGTTAGGGTTAGGGCAGCAAGGTCAACTCTCACCAGCAAGTAGAATCCGCTCTGATACCAATGTTATGATCCTGGCCAATTTCGAGATACACATCCATCAGATAGTACAATGCCGTCCAATTTCAGAAAGAAATGAATGAAAGAGAGGATTAGAAGAAGAAGAAGAAGTAAGAAAGAAGAAGAAGATGATGTACACCAGCATAGACAAATGACAAGGCTCCTCTTCTTCGCCCAACAACCTCCTCCTCCTTATCTCCCCCTTCTCTTATTCATACAAGAAATAATAATACAATGTTGAAATGGCTGATCCAGAATCATGTCCGAGTCCCTCTTCTACTGCAGGTATCACTCGAGGTCCACCATAGCCATGGCCGCCTCCCCCACTCTTCACTCTCATAGGCCGAGGCTATGGTGGACTACTAGGCCTTACCCAGATGCCGGAAACGCCTTAGAGTTGGAAGTTCCAAATTCATTGGTCAATCAGCAGGCTCGCCATAGTTTGATCGAAGAGGAGCCTCAGAGACTACAAGCGAAGCAACTTTTGTTTTGCCGCCTCGTAGTGCTGCGCAAATGGCATGGCAAGCGCCGTAGCGTAAGCTGGCAGGAAAGTTGAAGATATAGTCCATACCATGGATAAATTCATGGAGAAAGGCATCACATGTTCACTGTAGGTCTAGACGTAGATTCTTCGGAATCGGGGGGAGCTGTAAAGTTGTCTCTTACCACTGGGCTATTTGCTGGGAACCCCTATGAATCTTGGTCCTCCGAATTCTCACACTGAGGAACAATCCAAGATTCGGGGCAATCAGCAGGAAACCAAAGTTGTAATTCAATTGTCATGACGTTGAATATTTGGAATCGTTGATTACAACGAGTAGGATCCTCAGAGGCTATATGCCCAGCAACCATTCTATTGTCGTGTTTACCATTTTCACCAAGCGAGTATGCTCACTATCGGACTTGAACCGATAACCCGTAGGAACAGATTTTAAGTCTGTCGTGTTTACCATTTTCACCAAGTGAGCTTGATTTCAAACTAAACAGACTCAAACATGCAAAACACGGCCGACGCCCATCTATGGTATTGGACTTATGAGTATTCAGATTATAATACTTCTGATGAACAATCACTTACTTTTGATAGTTATATGATTCCAGAGGATGATCTAGAATTGGGTCAATTACGTTTATTAGAAGTAGATAATCGAGTGGTTGTACCAGCCAAAACTAATTTACGTATGATTATAACATCTGCTGATGTACTTCACAGTTGGGCAGTACCTTCCTTAGATGTCAAATGTGATGCCGTACCTGGTCGTTTAAATCAGACTTCCATCTTTATCAAACGAGAAGGAGTTTACTATGGTCAATGTAGTGAACTTTGTGGTACCAATCATGCCTTTATGCCTATTGTAGTGGAAGCTGTCTCTTTCAATGATTATGTTTCTTGGGTGTCTAATAAATTAGACTAAAAAACAAAGGAGCGAAGCAATGAAACCCAAAGCAGCTATGGCTGCTCTAGCTCAGGCCTCCATGCCCAACCCTGCCTTGAAGCTTCTTGGTGTGGCTCTCCCCAGTTGGGGACTCCCTGCTGCAGC